GTATGCAAATAGACACAGACAGGACTAGAATGATATCCCATAAATTTCAGAGAGGACAGCTTTCAGAAAGAAAGATCCCCATGTCTCTCTCCGCTGTTTATCTTTGCTTTTACATTCCTGTATTGGTTTCTGTTTGTTCTTTGTCTTAATTTCATTGCGTTTCTTTCTTTTACTAAATGATGGATACTTGATTCCTCTGATGACATTTTAATCTGTCGGTTTCTGGACATAGTCTGTCATCAAAATGTTTAGTGTCAGCTAGACAGAAATTGCTTTTATTCACCCTCCCCCCTGCCTGAGTTATTGGTGATTATTACTTATTGCCATAATCAAAGCAGAAGCAAGTGGCAGCAACAGTGAATCATACACTAGCTCTTCTCCAGTTGTATGCACTCAGTCACAGAAGAAGAGTTAGTTGTTAGTTATCTATAAACTGACTTGATTATTTTGTTACCCTACAGGAACATATTGGAAAATATAGTATAGTCCAATACACTGTAAACATTTTTTTTAAGATTTTACTTATATTTGAGAGAGAGAGAGAATGAGTGAGCAGGAAGAGGAGCAGAGGGAGAGGGACAAGCAGACTCTGTGCTGAGTGCGGAGCCAGATGCAGAGCTCAGTCCCATGATCCAGAGATCACAACCTGAGCCAAAACCAATAGTCAGAGGCTTAACTGCCTGAGCCACGTAGGCTCCCCTCTACTGTAAACTTTTACCCAAGTTTGCATTATAAAGAATGTGTCTTCTGTAAGATTCCTCCTGTCCAGTGTTTGTGTTCAGTAAATATTGGTTAGTGTATATGATGTGCCAACAACAGCCCAAACCTCAAAATTCAGTAGGAGTCAGACTCTGCTCATGATCCCAGTGAGTTATCCTCCTGTGAAAGGTGACAGAACACTAATAAACTAAAGCAGTAATTGCCGAACTGTTCCTAAGTTCTAGGATGACAAATAAAGCCAGGTAGCCACGTGGAGTGTGCTGGGGTCTTCTTTTGGAAGGAGACACTGTTCCCTAGGGAAGGGTTTTGAGCAAAGCTCTGACGGTAGTTGGAAGAGTAAGTTAAATGTTTCTCTGTGGGAAGAACATGCTGGGAACTGACAACAGAAAATGCAAAGGTGTTTTGAGAGGTTAACTTGGTTGTATGCCTCAGAATTCTAAATGTGCACTCACTTTGGTAAGGCATTCCCATTAATAGAAAGTTTTAAAATTATTGACACATATAAAAATTGTTCACTGCTTTGTTGTTTGTAATGTTGAAACATTTAAAAATAAATTTAACAGTCTGGTGGCTATGACACATTCAAAACGGAAAATGTAAGAAATTAAAAATAATAAGTTAGATCTCAATGAATCAACATATGGATAAACTTCTAAAAATACTACTCCCTGAAAAAAAAAAAACAGAAGTATGATACTCTTTATATTTTCTCATGTTTTGTTTGTGTGAAACAAAGACTGCACTCCAATATATTAGTATGTTTGTGTGTTCATGATGATGCATATGTATGTGCAATACAGAATTTATACCCATCTCTTGAGACTATCCAGTGCTGGCCAGGGGGCATAAAGGTACAAGTTGGGATGGGAAATATGTTTTTTTAAAGGTTGATTGATTTATTTGGAGAGAAGGGTGGGGAGGAGCAGAGGGAGAGAGCAAAGCTCAAGCAGACTCCTGGCTGAGTGCAGAAGCCCAACGTGGGGCTCCATCTCACGGCCCTGAGATCATGACCACAATCAAGAGTTGGACGCTTAACGACTGAACCACCCAGGCACCCTGGGAAATGTTTTAATATGAACTCGTATGTTCATATATCTGTCGATATCTGTGAGCTTTGGGGATTTAGGTTATGCTGACCTCATAAAATGTAGGACAGCTGTCCTCCTTTTGTCTTTCTGAAAACTTTAAGTTGAGTGATCTTGTTATTTCCATGTTTGAAAGGATTTACTACTGAAATCTTCTGGACCAGCAGCTTCTTTATGGAAAGTATTATGATGGCAAATTCAGTTTCTTTAGCAGATAAAGGACTACAGAGATGTTCTTTTTCATCTTGTGTCAACTCTGGTAACCTATCTTTCAAGAAATGTATCCATTCCATCAAAAGTGTTAAACTGGCCTAACTTTGTTAATAGTTTTCTTTGACTACTCATGTCTGTAGCATCCTTGGCGACAATCCCCCCTTCCCTTATTAACATTGGTCACACATATTTATGAAAGAGAGAAAGAAATTAGGCAAAAAATATGCAGATTCTTGTAAGTTTTCTGTAATTTTTATAACATGATATGTACGTGTATCTTTTACACGCTTTTACATTCCTGTATTGGTTTCTGTTTGTTCTTTGTCTTAATTTCATTGCATTTGTTTCTTTTACTAAATGATGGACACTTGATTCCTCTGATGACATTTTAATCTGTCAGTTTCTGGACATAGTCTGTCATCAAAATGTTTAGTGTCAGCTATGCACACACGTGCACACACAAAATCATATATGGGTGTGTGTGTCATATTTCACAATTTTTTAAACTCATTTATGCCAGGGTTCACCTTTCAACATGCCTTACGAGACTGAAGTTGAAGTCACCTGCTTCATTCTCCAGCATTTCCAGACACACTATGATGACAGGAGTTAGAACTCCAAGTGCATACACTCTTTTATTCAAGAAGAATAATTCAGACATTTTTTATTTTTATTTTCCTGGGGCATCGACTGGATCTCTGAACTGTGTATCAACCACTGGAATAAGTTCTGCATCCAGAGTGCTGATCTCTTTGGTGGTGAACACCTAGGTTATCATGGATAGGTGATCAATGTGTTCTGCCTATTACAATGGGAATGGCCATTCCTTAGAAATCCCAAAGTCTACTGCTCTGTGAAGCATAATGGATGACTGGTGATCCTATTGTAAAGAAATAGCAGTTCTTCCCGTCAGTTTCATGAGTGATGTTGCTGTGATAGTAGGCATTTCCCTTCAATTATGACTCATGGCGTCATGGACTGTCTCTGCATAAATCTCAGTGAGACGCACACATGCTCCTTTCCTTGTGGATAAGATGCTTCTAGGGACTTTTTTTCTTGACCACACTGCTTCGTCCCATTACAGTAAAAATATCCATCAGCCTTTCCTCTTTCCCCTGATGCTTTAGACCTTTTTCTCCCTCTCTTTGTGACACATCTATAACACATTTAATCCTAATGTTTTTCTCCCTCGCTTTGGAGGGAGAAAATCTATGGCACATTTAATCCTAATGTAAGTTGTCTCTGATGGGATGCTGATCCTATTATAGCCATACTTTCCTGGATAGTTGTATTTAAAGTGGATATTTATGTGTTTTTAAAATTAAGTGACTTTCTGCACAAACACACAGGCAGAGGATACATATTTAGTCAATTTATTTAATCATTCAGAAATCCAGTAACACCAAACAGGACTTGTGGTGTTGGTGAGGGGGAGAAATGAAATGGGAAAAGGAAGCATGTTTATGAAAAGAGAAAGTTGAAGTCAAGCAGAAACAAGGAAGGTTTTCTTCATACTGTTGATCCTGATTGCATGCAGAAGATGATGTGCCTGCTTCTCAGTGACACAACTGCAGGTGGAGAAAACAGGAGACAAGGTTGAGTTGAGTTGACTGTATGATAGCCTGACTGGAGTGGGCCTCAGGAAGTATAATGTCAAGGGTTGGAGGAGCTTTCAGTTAATCCAGTGCACAAGTCCCACAGGGAATGTCAGGCTCTCCATCCCTACGATACTAGAGGACCCACTGGAATTTTTCCATGGGCATACATATGATGGGACCTTTCATGATTAGGATCCCTTTCAGGACTTTGATAATTTCAGAACGAATGTTCATGGGGATGGTCCATCAAAAAGGATTTTATAGGATCTTTGTTGGAGTTACACTCTTCTCTCCCAATTCTAAAAGTTCTGTGGCTTGAAGATGTTATATTCAGCCTGGAAGTTAATGTCTCTGTTTGCTCTTTTTTCCTCCATTTCTTCCCAACAAGAGTGACAAAAGGTGCACTTTAGCCTACACCAGCGTCATGGTTTGAGGCTCATCTTACTTTAGAAAGTTCAAAAATCACACTTGAAGGAAATCTCCTTCTGCGGGAGAACGTACCTTGAAGGCATGTGTCATGTAGCATTGTTGGGGGGTCTCCAACACGGCTAGTGCAATGATACAAAATTACACCTGGTGTGTGCAAGAATAGTGCAGAGGGAATAGTGACATGTACGGACAACCCTCAACTCAGACCTGAATGGAAAACTCATTGTTTTTCCGGTCATCCCCGCCAACTTCTGGCATCTCCTGCTTCTCTCTGAATAACTATCATTGGTATGATTCTTGCATGATAATGCTTTCTCACCAAAACTGCTTTTTGGCATGAATTACCTCATCCTGTTTGCAATCTCATAGGACTCAGGGTAAACATAATAACCTCATGTAACAGAAAAAGTTTTCTACTGACATAATTATTGGGCTAGTTGACATAGCGAAACTCACAACAGGGTCATTCTTACTTACAATATTTAGGAAGAGTTGGCATCACTGTTTTTATTCATTGATGGGACAGTTGTCTGGGGACAAGACAAATATAAAAGATGAGAAAACGATCAACCAATCATGACCATTTCCCAATATTTGTGAGGATGTCTTCTTTTTTTAATTTTAATTTGAAAAAAATTTTATTTATTTGAACGAGGGTGAGTGGGGAGAGGAGCAGAGGGAGAGGGACAAGTAGACTCCATGCCGAGTGTGGGGTCCGATGCAGGGCTCCATCCCACAACCCTGAGATCATGACCTGAGCTGAATTCAAGAGTTGGATGCTTAACCAACCTCATCCACCAAGGTGCCCCATGGTTTCTTCTTTTAAATAATGGATTTTATAAAAGATAATTCATGGAAGAGAAAATTCAAAATGAATCAGTTTGTTTCCTCATAGCATATTTACGTATCAGGTGAGGGATATATTCAGGAAAAAGGATATATGTAGTCACAGTACCAGGATCAAGGACCTTTACAATATTTTCTTCTGGAATATTCTTTTGTCTAGTCAACTCCTTGAATTTTTCAACCGTTTCCTCATCAACATGATGTCCTCTGCCTGAAAATCACAATGCATAATTGTGATTTCGAAATCACAATTGAAAAAATGGCCATAAATTGAAGGAATTGGGAACAGACACAAATTGCCCATTAGAACCCCTAGGAATTTCTGAATACAGAACGAGAAACATGAATAGGGAAATCTAGTCTTTCACTAAGTCTGAAACAGTTACCACTGACCTTGTCTGAATGTCAGCTCTCTGACTTAGGTGGATAAGAGCCATTAAACTTTGTCCAGTTGCATAATCATGAACTTTTCCAGCAGTGCAGGACTCCAGGGATGCATCAGGAACTCCATGAATCTTGGACCCAATCCATCAAGAATATCCAATCTACTGCATCTCTGCGTATGCCTCAGAATCTATATCTGACATGCACGCCTGGTTCCGTACCCAAACTGCAAGCATGATTCTCACCTTCCAGACGGATAGCAGCCCCATCACATGTAGTAATGAGAGACAGCTTTCTTTTTTCCCTAGTTCTCGAATGCCTTTTTCCAAATCGAAACCTAGTATTCCAGAGATTACAGCACCCATCTCAGTGCCCCTGTGTGGTTATTCAGGGGTTGAAATAGTCAGTATTCACAACAACAATGCATTGGAAGGACAAACGTGATGAAAGTTTATTTTAAAAGCTTTCGCTCCAAGGCTGTAGAGTGTATTTGAAAAAATGGCCATAAATTGAAGGAATTGGGGTCAACCTGAAGATAGCTGAGGCTTGAAATTAGTTGACCTGTTAAGAAACTACTTCTAATAAAACTCATTTTTTTTACTTTCCATTTTAATAAATGGGAATTATTTTTAAATACCTCCCACTTCGACTGGCTCTTGTTTACATCTTTCTTTTTAGAATCATTCCAGGATCCTTGACACAATGCACATAAAGACTTAGGGCTTGTTTGGAGAATCATTAATAATGTCCATATGTACTGATCTTCTCAATGAAAATGCTGACAGTGGAAATATTATATGGCCATGACAATTGTCAGGATGTAATACATACCAGTCAATAGAACTATTTCTGTGGTGTTCCCTTCTTCATCCACATTGACATCATAGCCTAGCATAGTACTTGGGGTTATATCGACAATTTGGAAATCATTTTTCCCCTCATCTGTGAGAGAGAAGAAATATATATATGTAAAATTTATATAAGCTTATATAAAATTTATATATGTATATAAAGCCTTACCTTTGTTAATTTACTGTAGATTGGCTTTACCATGTCGTAGTTAATGTATTGGTGATAACATTGGTGTATTGGTCTCTGTGTCGTCCTGGCAGTGCAGTGAACATTAACATTGCTTATGACAATGAGAACAAGGAGGGTAGGGAACACTTTTCCTTAGTGCCACCTTCTTATGCAATTAAACATTTCACACCTCCCAGTCTTAATAAAATGTTCTCTAAAATGTGTTGCAGTGACACCAACATTGCCTCAAACAACACAACTTGGGGTTATATGGCATATTATCAGATACAAGTTTAAAATCTCTTCATATTGGCCTTATCCCAGCAATGGAGTTGATTTTTCTTTAGACTGAAGTCCAGTTGCCATTCAAGCATTGATAGACCTCGCATTATCACCAAACCTTCCAACGTGCATCCTCTCTTCCACCCAAAACGTACATAACACCTTATTTGAGCCACTCCTCGGGATTTTATTTGAAACTTTGCCAGTTTGTGTGTCCCACTGAACTAGCATTAGTCTGCCATGGTGAAAAACCAAGGAGCCCTGGACGGAACTTCACCGTGTCCCAGACAAGTGACTGAGTCTTGCCCAGGCCTACTACTAACTCCATGAGTCTTGGGTTACGTTGGGACAATTTCAATAAGATTTTGTGCATCTCTTCAGATTCTTAGAATGATAATGTTATAAAGGAGGGCTTTGCAGAAAATCTCACTACGTTGGTTTATAAAGGTAATGCAGATTATGGAAGCGGTGGGATTAAATATGCGAGGGCTGGTTTTGTGCCTTGCTTTCTCCGGAACAGAGCTGGGTAGGTTACAACTCCTGGTTCCCAAAGGCCTGTTACAGTAAGTCCAGCTCGTTCTGTTTCTCTCCCTTCTTAAATTGCCATGTCCAAATCTAGTTAAAAGGGGCTACAAAAGTGGAGAAAATTGAAGAAAAGGTGATAGATGACTCAGGCAAAGGGAAAAATCACATACAAGTGAGGAAAAATGATATCATAATTTTAAAAAATCTGCTGCTAATATAAAAGTGACAACTATATGTAGGGCAGAATGGCAGGCATATAATTCACCCTATTTATGTATATTTCACTTAATTACATACCCATTGTGCTACTTTTTTTTATCTCAGACAAGGGCTATAACCACAGATTTACACATTTAAGTATTAATCAGATATTTAGACATTAGGCCACTTAAAATTTGGAACATTGTTTAGGATCGTTAGAGAGAGCTTAAGGATCTAAATCTTAACCAACATCCCCATTGCTTTAGACAGAAGCTGAGCTTATGAAGAAATGGGCCTGGTGTTTGAAATCACTCTGATTTCCTTGGATTTTAAGTTAATCCCCTGTACATGGAATGGAGTAAGAGGCTTTAAGATGATTATTTTAAAATGGATCCCATTAAAGCAAAATGACATCTGTATGTAAACTCAGGATAGACTCATTAGATTTAGTTCCTAAGGTCATTTTAAATTATCTGGAAACATTTTCGTGTACTTGAGAACCTTATGAAATAAACGTTCTAAGCACACGCTCTCCTCACTCACTGAGTAATACTCAAAATTGGAAAGGGCTACCAATGTCCTATCATTGATCAGTCTGTGCACGACAAAATAAGGTGCTTGGAAAATTTGGGGACATGTGCCCAGTCATTCTTCTAATCATTCATCGAACTAGAATTCAGGGATACAGAGTTCTGGAAAGAAGTTGAGCCTAAGATGTCACCCTTAAGACATCAGTAAAGCACATATACTTACAATCAGCACTGATAGCGTTGTTTTGTCGTACTGTTCCCATGACAGATTTATCTGTGCATTCTCCATCAACCCTAAAAAATAAAATACCCTTAAGTGGATGGATGAAAACGATCAAACTTTGCTCCATAATTAACATTTTCTTTCCTTCGACCTCACAAAACCCTCTATGAGGCATCATTTGAGTGCCTATAAATAGTGCGACATTCGAAAGAGAAGAAATACAAAAGAGTTTGTGTGTCTCTGTGTGTATATATGACAAAAAAATTGTGTAAAATGCACAAAATGCACAAAAATGTGCATTTGGAAAAAGAGGAAGAATACACACAGCACAAATAATGAAAGAAGAAATAACCCAACAAAATGGGGCAATTTATGGAACAGATCTGTCACAAAAGAGGGGCCACAGGAAACCATGGTCATGGCTATGAGTCATTGGAGACATGCAACGTAAAACCACAGCAAGACCCCACTTCACGTTCACGGGACTGGGTAAAATCACAGACGAAGTCAGTACCAAAATTTAGAAGGAATGAGTTACCATCGAATATCTGATGCATTACTGGTGATAATCCAAAAGGTGCCGTCACTTAGAAAAGGATTTAAGCTTCCTGTCATTGAAGATGCTCATAGACCACGATACAGAAGTTGCTTGCTCCCCTAGGAGAACTGCAAATATATGTCCACACAAGCATGTGTGCAGAACCACACTTATCAAAGCGATTCAAAATACCCACAAAGTGGAAACATTATCCAGTACCTGGATAATGTAATAATACCCGTTGTTCCTTACACAAAGTACTTTAACTCGGCAATGAAAAAAGTGACTATTTGTCCGGAGAGCCATGTGGATAAATGTTTAAAGCCTCATAGGGGAATGAGAAAAGCAGTAGGAGAAGCAGAGTGCGTAATTCCACTGTGTGATGTTCTGGAATGGGGGAGAAAAAGCGTGTCAGGTGTTCTCTGTGTGGCCACATGGGCAGACATTTAATGCAGAGGGGAAGAAGCAGACTTTTTGTGGTGATGGAAATGTTTTATATCTTGACTGGCAATGGTGAATAGATGCACACATATGTGAAAACTCACTGAACTATGCCTTCACGTGGATGCCTTTGATCACACGTGCATGGCATTTCAGTAAACCTGACTGCAAAATGAGGGGCCACATGTAAAGTCAGCTAAATGCAGACAAACACAAAAATTGTAAAAATGACCCCAAAAGATCATATGGCGCCAATTCTTTAAGAAAATATTGAAAACTGACAGGTATATCTATTAGGATATGATGTGTGTGTAATTTGATTATATGTATGTATAACATAACCAACCATATTGTAGATTATACATAATCAATTATGTATCTCTTGGGATAGAATGTGTATGTAGTTTGATTATATGTATATATAAAATAACGAACCATATTATATATTATACATAAGCAATTGTGTATCTCTTGGGATAGGATGTGTGTGTAATTTGATTACATGTATATGTAACATATAGCCAACCATATCATATACATAATCAATTATGTATCTTTTGGGATAGGATGTGTGTGCAATTTGATTCTATGTATATATGACATATAACCAACCATATTGTAGATGATACATAATCGATTATATAATTACATAACATTACATATATTATTATAATTATTGTATATTATATATCGCATTACTAACTTCAGAAAGCCTTCAAGTATTATTAATGGAATGCTCACTCTACTGCAGGCATATATATGTATTATAATTGCTATATATTATTATATATTATAATTGTATAACATGTTTTATAAATATCGAACATGTCATATAATTATAATAGATCATCAATTATATTTGTGTATTTATAAACCCATCTCTCCAAACATAACCCTCTTATTTTACTTTCTTAATGCTCATCTTTTTTGTTTTTTTATTCTTCAGAATCCGTGTGTGTGTGTGTGTGTGTGTGTGTGTGTGTGTGTGTGTGTGTGAAAGTGGAGAGAGAGAATCTTGGATTCCCACTTAAAGCTTTAGAAGTTCGGTCTTCAGAAACAGACTTCATCCAGTTTCTTATAATGCATGATTTTTGATATATGTTCTGAATCCCTTTATCATTGGAAAAATCATCCTCCCTTTTATTCCCTTTCCAATTTCTTCCCAATTCCTAACTCTCCTTATTTTCAGCCCTTTACTCATGTCTGTCCTCCAGCCAGTAAGTTTGCTCAGGTATTTCTAAACCTAGCAATATTTCTTTCACATCCCCCTCATGTCCTCACCTTGCAAAGTTTCTCTCTCCTTTAAACTGCCAGCTTTTTGAACTATTAAGCCATCACCCGTTCCCAGTGCAGTTCTATCTGGATTCGAAGGACTGCAAACAGTAAAAACTAACAATTCATTTTCCACCTACAATGTAAATACAGGTTTTAATCTTACGGGCTGTGGACTTGTTTGCATGACTTGGTGCTTTGGGATGCTCTACATTTCTTTGATTTTAATAATTCCACCTGCTTCATTTTGATATCCTCAGATTCTTCTGCTGAAACTTAAAGGTTGGTGTGGAAATTATTGTTATTTTCAGATGAAGTCGTCAATATGTGGCTACAGTTATCTCCGATGTAGCAGTAAAATTCAAGGGTGTGTGTGCGCGTCTGAGAGAGACAGAGATAGAGACAGAGAGATAGATGTCTGCAGTTCCTCAAATTTTCCTCTTCGGTTTAAGGCCCTTTCTATTGATCTGTGCACCAACATTTGTCCTGTTTCTTCCTTCTTTGTTTGAAAATCCCAGTCCACATTCCAAAGCATCCTACACATGCCCTGTGCCTTGTGATACTTCATAGACCCCCTGGCATGGGATCGTTGGTCATTTTCTGGTGCTCTCATTTCACCTAGACTTTACCTTAATGATAGAATTTCAGGCATGGTATTGTTACTAGTTTATAGATCTGTTATCGGACTCTATTTTGACCAGTGAACGTAAAAAAATAAAAAATAAAAAGTTTCCTCATCTTCCCTTCATCTTTTGAGTTCTTAATAAAATGCCTATTGTACAGTGAGCATTTTATAAATAATATTTGAAGTAGCAAAGGCTTTGGTGAATTTCACAATTTAATGATGATTAAAATTTGCTACTTGTGAGTTCTTCAGGGTAGAGAATGAAAGAGCCAGTAGCAGGAACCCTACAGTCCCAGGAGCTCCATGAGAAGCATCTCCTTAAAGCAAGAAGGGTGTGCTCAATTTATAAAGAACTCAGTCTCACTCTTCAATATCATGCAGATATTTCACTGCAAACGTGGAGCTCAGATGCCCTCTGAGGGTCAGGCATTGACAGGCATTTTTGCTCTATGTGATTTTTACTTACTTGATAAAAAAAATTGAATAAGATTTTCCTTCTTGCTATGTCCACATCGATATGTCTCATATAACCCCTGAATGGACTATTCTAACTGATCTTGTCAAAGTTGGTGGCTGCCAAATACATCGTCTTCCATTGTCCTGGAAGCTAAAGGCAAAGTTCCCATCAGTAACTTCATTCAATTTCTTTTTATTTTCTCCAACATCATCCAGTATGGTTTTCCCTTCTCTTTTGCATCAGCGCAGAACTAACTTTATTGAACAACGCAGGATTTATAAACTCCTGGGAAAACCCAAGTCAACAGCAAAACGACAAATTGACATATTCCTAAAATAGCATACCCATTCTTATCAAATGCAAGACCTCAACCCCAACAGCTCATTGACTGATGCACGTTCTTTTTTATAAGTACAGTAGAAATGTATAAATGTCCAGTTACTAGACCATAGGAGACACGTACAGTAGACATGTGCAAGGAGCCTATTAACAGAGGGATTCTGAGTTTCCAGGTAGACGGCTAAGCTTGGTGCACATCAATTTGGATATACATATAAAAACCCCCAAAGGGCACACACACACACACACACACACACACACACAACACACACACATACACATACACATAAAGACGTCCTTGTGAAGTCAGCCAGTTCCTGGTACCTGTCTCAATTCATGAATTAAGGGTAGCTGGGCATCACAAACCAGAACCAGTACAAGAGACAACAGTAGAATCTTCATGTCTCTGGCACTTCTTGGTTCCTCCTCTGGAGAAGCTCAGAGTGGATTGCACATTGATGAGATGCTGAATTTTCACCGCTTTCTATAGTGTGTGTCTGTCAATGTGGCCATGTTTGTCTACTCCTCATTCTTTGTGAGAGATCATTGCACAACACTGAAAACATCCTGGTTGGCAGTGAGGTATCCCAAAGATCTGTGAGATCAGGGGCATTACTTCTAGAAAAGACGTTCAAAAGCTTGGTTGGCCTGTAGGGTTGTTTGGATCAAGCCAGCATATCTCATATCACGTTGGATGCTCATTCATATTCTTGGAAAAAAGAAATGTCTCCTTCCCTTTTCATCAGATGGGTTTCAAGGAAATCACCTTCCTGCCCCAGCACAACTGTTCCCTATTCCTTGTGGAAAGTTGGAAAGGTCTATGTGTGGGCTTTGACACAAGCCAACTCATAAATGCAAATGCCAAGGTGCAAGTGTGGAGAACTCTGGTCTTCCTCTTTCCCAGTCTCTGAAGGGAGTGAGCAAGCTGGGGGTGACACCATTTTAGAAGTTCTTCACAGACAAAGCTATACAGGGTCCTGAGTGTGTCCCTCTGAGCTTATTATGAATATCAGATAATTATGTACCTATGGAAAGCTCATAAGAGAGTGTTTAGCTCAGAGAAGACAGGTCTTAAATTGTTATTAATATCTTTGAAGAAAACAGTGAATCAGGCTATAAAATAAGAATCTTTTAGGAAGCTGTTACCACTGTCAGTTTGTTCAACATTAAATGAACTTGCCACTCATCCTCACAGGCTCATAAAATGAAACAACAAGGAAACAGGCATCTTGCAATCCTCTTGCTCACATTTGGTCAATGATGGAATAGAATAAGTGGGCTGTGGGATAAGAACAGAAAGACTGGAAGGTCCAGAATAAATGAGTATCTTTTTAAATATGATAAGACCAGGGTTAATATGGTCTAAAACCCAGTCTGTGGCACTAATCCCTCATGAAAGGCTGACTTGTGTCCCCCTCCAAACTCATGTGTTGATGTCCTACCTGCCAGAACCCCAGGATGGGATATACTTTGGAAATAGGGTCATTGTGAACATGCAGTTAGTTCAGAGCAGGTCATGGTGGACTAGGGAAGGCCCCTAATCCAATATGGCTGGTGGCCTTCCAAATGGGGAAATTTGGATGCATGTGTACTTGCAGCACATGGGGTCATGCTGCCACAAAGCAGCAACCTTCCACCAGCAAGAAGACAGAGATACAGCCGACCCTCCCCTAGAGCCTTCACGGAGACCACAGCCCTGTCCACACCCCATCTCACACTTCTGGCCTCTGCATCTCTGAGGTAATACATCTCTGTTGCTCTAAGCCACCCAGTATGATAGATTGATTGTTTCTACAGCAGCATGGCAGACTCATACAGCACTCGGGATTTGAGATCAACTTTGACTTGGGCCACATAGCTAAGTTCCTTGCCAAGTCCTTCCACCTCTGCCTGAGCCCAGTGAACTGGTGGAAGACGCTCTTTTCTCTGAGGCTGAGAACTCAGTCGGGCATGAGAGCTCCAGTTCTCACACCAGCTGCTTCGAAGGTGTCAGGAGATCATTCCTACAAACGACTAAGCACCTTCAGCCAAATAAAGGACAAGATAAACAATGGATTTTCCTTGTTTTTTAGTTTCCCTCACATTTTTTTTATTGACATTGAAAACGGTGACAGGTTAAAATTATTGACTTAGTTTTTTGGAGTGACCATGTGTTCTTCACATTCTTGGGAGGTCTTCCTTCCTCCAGAGATCTGGTTATGCTTTTGGGCACAGGAGATTCTGTTCTATGTTGATTTCACAAGTTATTTTTCACTGATTCTAAAGATACTTTCTGTTCTCTCACAAAAGGCAACAAAGACAACCGATGAGGGACTTCCCTACCCGAAGAATGTAATTAATTGCCTATAACATGGACTCAGAAGACTCCGTTTAAGACAGTCATTTCTTCGGAGTAATTGTCTCTCATTTGGGCTTTGACATTTTGTCACCTTTTGATGAAAGTTATCTCAGGACTCCTGCTTCTTCAACTCACCTTTTGCTTCCTTTTAAGGTCTAAAAGTGACCAGTTTGGGTCATTGAATTGGATTCTTTCATTTGTCTCTCTCTGGGCTTTTGGAGCCATTGTTACTTTTCTGTGTTTTGTATTCCCCTCTGTGGGTTATCCCATATTGGTTGCCTCTTGCATGAAAAAGAGGGCTATCATTTCTGTATCTGATAATGTTCTGTCCAACCTCATCCACTTTGAACATTATGAGATGGATACTGCTCTGTGATGAGTCAACATGGGGATTGAGTTTAATATTTAATTGAATGTTGTCCTCTGTGGTTCCCTTGAAATACACTTCACTTCCATTCGTCAACGTGCCATTTGGGTCCTAATTATATAAATTACCTAGGTATATTCACTCAGTGCACACTAAAGTACAGCAGAGGCTCAATTATTAATATTCAAAGGACTCTAGATCTCCCTTTTCTTTTCCTCTCCTATAAAACCAAACTGTTTTAGACATCTGAGACGACTCTTCAAATACACAAGGCACACCCCACACCTTGCCCACCTGCCATGTCCTTTGCTTTCTAATTCTCGCATTTCTTTGGATATCCGTCAAGACTCTGGCAATCAATTCAATATTCTTATCTTTTCTAGGATTATCTCTAGGAGCCTAGGTCTCTTCTGTTTGCCTTTTGCATTTTCTTATCTACATAATCATGGGTAAAATATTAAACAGACACCTGTCTACTCTTCCTGAAAGGCTGACACCACATAACCCTTAGCCAAATCCATTAAGTTACTGGCCTCACTACATGCCAAGAACAGAAAAAAGTAAACATCTAAAAGACATCTTGATTTTCTACATATCATTTCACTTTTCATATAAAGTCTTGATGAACCCCCATGTATGCTGTCCCCCCAAAAAGTGTATTTTCACAGGTGCTCATAGCAAGTGTTTGGTGTGCAATCAGTGGGTCCCTGTTGAGCCCAGACCAAGTGAAGAACCATTGTTGTTGGTCTGTAGCAGAGAAAGCAGTGACCCACACATGTATGATTCCCAGAGCTTCTGTTTCCATGAGGGGAAACAGGAAATAAATAAACCCTCAATGGAGAAAATTGCAAGTATTGATGCACATGGAAACAACACAGGAAGTCAGGCAGGGAGTGGTGGAAGAGCATTTAAGCAGAGATCCAAAGAGAGGAAAGAGAAAGTCATGCAGTTATCTGAGTAAAATGATTCCAGAAGGAAGGACTAGTAACTCCAATGTTCTTTTAAATATGAATTTTGGTAAAATATACAGAATTTATAATTTACCACCCTAATCATTTTTAAGCATACAATTCAGTATTGGGAAGTACATTCCCATTGTTATGCAGCCATCTCCAGAATTCTTGTCATCCTGAAAAACTGAAACTCTGTCCCCATTAAACACCGACTGCCCATTACCCCCCCAACCCCTCACACCCACTGTTCTAATTTCTGTGTCTATGAATTTGACTGCTTCAGGAAAGTTCCTCATTGAATTGGAAGCATACAGGATTCATCCTTTTGTGTCTGGCTGATTCCACTGAGCACAATTACTTCAAGGTTCATCCATGTTCTAGCAGGTGTCAGAATAGTCTTCCTTTTTTAATGGCTGAGTGATATTCCATCGGGTGTATATCACATCTTGTTTATCCATCCATCCATTGATGGATACCTTTTGGCTGTTGTGAAGGAAGGTACTGTGGACAAAAGGAAACATGAAGAAGCCAAAGAACGGGAACATGGTAGAGAATAAAAGGGATAAAAGAGATTTGGTTTAAAGTCCAACATGTAAGTATGTAATATCCTAGAAAAAGAGGGAGTCTTAAATATCGCAGAGGCAGTATTTGAAAGGTAATGTATCATAACTTTCTAATACTGAAGGAAGACATTATGCTAGAGACTCGGGAAGCACTGCCCAGCCCAAGAAGAACAAACAAAAAGAAATCCACACAGAGACCTACCTGAGCAAAATCCCCAAACCAAACACTAAATGTGCAAAAGAGTGGATTTCTTTGAGAGAAGGAACTAACAAGATGGACCGCTAAATTCTCTACAGACACAATGGAAGTCATGATCTAGTAAAATGTTCCACTGTCGAGCTGTCTTACTAAATTGAAAGAGGAATAAAGATCTTTTCAGACAATCAAAAACTAAGAGAATCTGTCGCATGTGTGCCAATACTTAAGAGAAATGGAGGCACAGAAGTGGATCTCAGATGAAAGGTTGCAGGTTGATGGGATCCCTGGGTTGCTCAGTTGGTTCAGCACCCAGCCCTTGGTTTCAGCTTAGGTCATGATCTCAGGGTGATGCGACTGAGGCCTGTGTTGGGCTCCATGGTCAGTACAGAGTCTGCTTGTCGCTCTCCGCTTGCTCCTCCCTTCCCCCCACCCCGACTCATGGGCTCTCTCTCAAATAAATAAATAAAATCTTTTAAAATAGAGAAATTAGTTAACAGTCTGTATATCAGAGCTCATTGAAAAGGAACATAAAAGGTGGAAAAATAATCAGTTGAAAAAATGGTAGAACAAAGATAATCACTGAAATGTATATGTATGTGTATTTAAAACCCTATCAAATTTTATATATCATAGTATATGGCATACCTACATTTCATCTATCTGCTATCATCTCTCCATCCATCCATCCCTCCATCCATCCATCTTTCATATCTATCTACCTATCCATCCATCCATTCATCCATCCATCCATCCATCCCTATGTCTGTCTATCATCTCTCCACCCATCCATCCATCCATCCATCCATCATATATATCTACTTATCTATCCTTCTGTCCATCCATCTATCCATGTATCCATCCATCCCTATGTCTCTTTGTCTATCTATCATCTATCTATCTATCATCCATCCATCCATCCATCCATCCATCCATCCATCCATGTGTGTGTATATATATATATATGTGCAGTAATAAAATTCAT